CCTTTCCATGGATGTTGGTTTTCCTGAAGGTTCTTCCCTAGACTCCATCTCTCTTCCTTCTGAACACTTCTCTGAATGACTTCTATGACAAAGACTTCCATGTTTCCCTGTATGCTAGTGATTCCCTAAATCTATCCCCATAAATCTATCTAAGTGCCAACCAGACACTGTATTGGTTTTCCAATTACTACTAACAAATTATACAAACTTAGTGGCTTTAAACAATACAAATTTTCTACCTTACGTATCTGGAGGTTCAGAAACCCAAAATAGGTCTTAGTGGGCTAAAATCAAAGAGTTGGCAGGGCTGTATTCCTTCTGGAGGACCTAGAGGAGGTAAGTTCATTGCTTTTTCCAGCTTCTAGAGGCCACCCACACTCCTTGACTCATGGCTCCCTCCCACCTTCAAAGCCAGCAATTGCATCACTGACCTCTTCTTCTGTCATTACATCTCTTTCTCTGACCTTTGTGCCTCCCTCTTTTACTGAGAAAGACCCTTGTGACTATATTGGGTGTACCTAGTAAGCCAGGATAGTCTCCCCATCTCAACATCTTTAATTTAATTAGATCTGCAAAGTCCATTTTGACATGTAAGGTAACGTATTCAGTTGCTGGGGATTATGACATGGACATCTTTGTAGGGTCATCATTTTAGCTACCACTGGAAACCTCCATCTTAATACCTCCGACAGCTTGAACGCAACCTATCCAAAATAGAATTCATCCTTCTTCTCTTTCTATGTCACCTGTCTCAGGGAATGACACCATCGTTCATCATCATTCAGGCAGTTGTCTGAGTCAGAAATCTGGTATTCTAGAGAATAAGGCAGAACTAGTACTTGCGTATCCAGTATCCTTTTTCTCATCTTCTTTGGTAATAAAATCACCTTTATTTTACTAGAGGCAGCAATGTGCCTAGCTAAAATATTATATTCCTCAGCAGATATTCCCCAGTCTCCTTTATTACAAGGGTTGGCCAATGACAGGTATGTAAAAATCATTAGGTAGGGGCCAGAAAAGCTCTTCATCTGTCAGAAGCTCTTTTCCCTCCACCCTTCCTTCTTTGAATGTGGATCTGATGGTTGGAACTGCAGCTACCAGCTTGGGACCATTAATTGACCTTGATAAAATCATTGCCAAGGATAGCAGAGCAAAAAGCTGGAAGAAGCCTGTGACGTTGATGATGTCCAGGAAACTACTGGACTTCCTAACTCCAGGCTTCTTTTACAGGAGAGAAAATAAAACCTTATAGTATTTAATTTATCATTATCTTGGATGTGTTACTTGCCAAATGCAATTCCTAATGCAATTTATCTGACAGGGAACAAATCTAGGGAAAGAGTTATTTTCTTCCTCTAAGCCCTGAATACTCTTTGATTAGATCCAGAACTATATAATCTGAACAAGGACCATCATAAATTCCAAATCAGTAAAATTTTACATTTGTTTGTCCTCCACCTCAAAGCATTCTCTCAGTCCCTAAGGAAAGAGAAAAGGGAAAAAAGAAATTCAAGGCAGCATGACTACAATGGTGACAGACCTCTTGCTCCTCTGTCTCTGACCAGGCATCTGGGTGATGGACACAGGGTGCCCAACTTTCTCTGTGACCTGTCAGGCTGCCTCACATATTCTAAGAGCTGAGGCAGGGCTGGGCGGGGGAGGGTAGAGACCAGGAACTGATACATAAAATTGGCATCGTTACTTGGAGGAGACACCTAGATGCTCAGCCCTCTTTCTTCCAGGTTTTAATCTCCATAATCATCAAAATTAAGATAACCTGCTTCCAGGCAGCGCTCGCTTCAATATGGTGGCCCCCAAGGAGGGGAGCAGCTAAGGGTGTAAACGGTTTTGCAGTTCAGAAACAAAACTGTTGTTGGCTACTGGTCACGCACAAACCTTGTATAAAAGATGATGTGATTGTAGCTCTGAAGAAAGTGAATGGTGATGCCATTTTGAAATTTGAACCATTTATTCTTCATGTGCAATGTCGACAACTGAAGGATGCACAGCTTCTGCATTCAGCAGCAATAGATTCTGGTTTCAGGAACTCTGGCATAACAGTGGGAAAGAAAGGAAAGACTATGATGGCTGTCCGGAGTACACATAACTTAGAAGTTCCATTAAGCCACAAGGGAAAACTGATGGTGACAGAGGAATATATTGACTTCCTCTTAAATATAGCAAATCAAAAAATGGAGGAGAACAAGAAGAGAATTGAAAGGTTTTACAACTGCCTACAACATGCTTTGGAAAGAGAAACTATTACTAACTCACATCCCAAGATCAAAGAGAAACATAATTCATCATATACTCATATGAAAAAAAGAAACCCAAAGAAAACACGTGGCAAGTGTATTACTGACAAAAACGATGAAGACACTAACAATGATGATGATGATCCTGGAATCAGTGTTAATATCTTCCCTGAAGAATATTGAGATTTGCTTCTGAAGTATCTTGTTGGAGAAATATTTCTAGCAGATATCATAAAGCTGCTCTTTATAAGAAAAAAAAA